GTTTTACCCAGGGGATTCATTTCCAGCTGTTTAGTGATCCTTGGAGGCACAGAATCATGGAATGGTCTGGGTTGGGAGGGACCTTAAAGCTCCAGTCCCACCCCTGCCACGGGCAGGGACACCTTCCACCAGCCCAGGTTGCTCCAAGTCCCGTCCAACCTGGCCTTGGACACTTCCAGGGATCCAGGGGCAGCCACAGCTTCTCTGGGCAACCTGTGCCAGGGCCTCCCCACCCTCATTACAAAAAGCTCCTTCCTCGAATCTGTTTTGGATCAACTGAGCTGTTTGTGACCTGGGTAGTGGAAAAAAGGACAAAAAAGGTAGGAAGCACCTCCTGGAATGTGGGAGCTTTGGCATTTACTGCCCTGAGGTGTTTGAGATCCGAGTTGTTCCAGGCTGTTTCCAAAGGCATCACCTCACCCCGGGTCAGGCTCAGCTCTGCCCTCAGCTTTTATTTCTCAGGCTGGCAAGTGTTGCTGAAATCACTGAAAAGAAGCATTAGGAGTATCCCTGGAAGGCAGGAGAAGTGGCCATTCATTAAACACCAGCATTCCCCAGGCAGAGGGAAGCTGTACCTTGGTACAGTGTCTTAATTACATTTATAATTTCAAGCAGTGAGGACTGGCACCTCCACCATCACAGCTGATCCAACAGTCTACACAGCCTTGTCTTTCCTTTTCCAGGCCCAGGGCAGGAAGACATTCCCATTCCAGGCCCTGCTTGATACCCTGCCACAACCTGAGTTAAGCAGTGGCAGGGTAAAATAAAGCCTGGATAAACAAAGAATTTTTGTGTCCTGGCCTGTGCCTGCAGGGGAGGAATTCTGGAAGCAAAGCAGGAACCTGGCACCCAAAGGGCATCCCAAAGTTTTAAATGCACAGTTTGATTGTTCTTTTATAGACTATGCAGATTAACTCACAAATAAAAGAGGGGTTTGTGAGGATGGACTGTTTTAAAAAAAATGAGCAAATGGCAAAATGGTTCATTATACCTTGAGAAATTGGTTTCTAAAGCTGCCTGGATAAAGTGTCTTCATCCACTTGACTCCAGCCAGGGAAGTGTGAGCAGCAGAGCTTGGGCAGAGCTCATGTTTTTAATCCCAGGCACAGTGAGATGATGCACAAACGGCCCCAGCTTTGTTTTCCTGAGGTTTTCCCTGGACTGGTGACAGTGGCTGGAGCAGCCTGGGTGGGTCTGGGGGGACCCCAGTGCCACAATCCCAAAGCTTTGCTTCCCCTCCTTTGCTCACAACCCCCTGCAGGGCCTGGCTCCCAGCCCAGACCCCCTGAGCAATAAACACCCCTCGCCTCTGGAAATTAATAAACTTAGTGGGAACCTCAAATGTCACTTATTTGCCTCCCTGTTTTCATAGGTGATTTCACTAAGCAGCAGCACTTGCTAATCCCACATTCACACAGATAGAAGGTCAAAGTTGGTCAGTGAGCCAAGAAATACCATATCAGGGTTTCTTTCCTCTCCAATTGAAAGAGGTATAAATTGTGGAATTAGTGTATTGATTGAAGGCTACAACTTCAAGCAATCAGTTTTTCTGGCTTGACAAGATTATTTTATCCTACTTTTCTTTTATTATTATGTGTTGTATTTGAGTCATCCTTCAGGCAGATGAAGTGACAGCTTGATTTAACTCAATAAAATCCACCAGTTAGGAAACCTACTGAGCCGAACAAAAGCTGCCGAGGACGGTGAGGGGAAGGTGCCTGGTTAGTGTGAGCGAGCAGAGAGAGCTGGAGGGAGGCAACATTAACAGGAATTATGCCCTAATCAATGCATTTCTATGGAAACTTGGGAGAAATTTGTGAGACCCCCGTGCTGGGCCAGCGAACGGGTAATTCTGGCTCTCTTAGGGACAAGCAAAAATAACATTTCTGCAACCGAGTCCTGAAAACAACAATTTCAGCCAAGCAGGTGTAACTGCAAAAAGTTGGATAATGTTGCTCTTCTGACAGATTTGAAAGGAGATGCTTAACCAAGGGGTTGTGATTGTGAGTTGATTAAAACAGTATCAAGTGTTTGTACGTTAGGTCTTTGCTTTGCTACACAGTAAGTACTAAAATACGTATTTTTCTCTGCACACAGGGTTTTTTTTCTCTTGGTCCTGTCTGTGGAGTAAATGGCACAGAACAGGACAGAGGGAACGTGCTGAGGGGAGTCCTGGGAACTGTGCTGGCTCCTGGTGTGAGAGAGGAGGTGGCCAAGGTGTGGAGAACATGTTTTCAGTGAGCTGTGGTACAGCTGCTTCCCCTGGATTGTAGCTGCTGCCTCTGGATTTCAGCCCTGCAGCTGAACCCACCCACTGCCACTGCTTCCTTAGCAATGGGAATGGGGAAAAAATGCATTATTGATGGATAAAAAGTGACCTCAGTGTCATATTTACATCCCTGGAAGGGTTCAAGGCCAGGCTGGAGCAGCCTGGTCCAGGGGAAGGTGTCCCTGCCCCTGGCAAGGGGTGGGACAAGATGAGCTTCAAGGGCCCTTCCAACCCAAACCATTCTGGGGTCCTGGGATTCCCTTTCTGAAAGCCTCAAACACCATATTTTGATCATTTTTTTTTTTGTTTTGGGTGATGAGTTCAAGATCAAAACTATCCCTGTTAATTCATAACTGATCTCTTGCTAAGTTACCCCACAGAGTCATTGATTTGCTGCTGGATTTGGGCTTTTTTTCCCCCCTTGGCCTATTCTGCACATGTGTCCCTGTCCATGGCAGGAGGCTGGAACCAGAGGATCTTTCAGGTCTCTTCCAACCCTGTGATTTTGGGATTTTATGATTCTCTGTCAGCCTGCAGCATTCATGGGTGCTGGAATTGCTGTCAAAGTTACATCTCATAATACATAAATATGTATACATATAAATACATATAAACCCCACTGCTTTCAGCAGCACTCCCATGACCAACAGCAACAAAACTGTGCAGCATTCAGGCTGTTTGTCTGACTGTTGCAGGGCAGCTCTGGGTTCACACTTTTCCTGCCCACTCCATTTAAGTTCCTGCCATTAAGGTGATGGAAAAGCAGGAAAAGGACAACTCCCATTTAAGGGCTCAGGTGAAAGCCCAGACTGCTGCAACCATTATTTTAAAAACCGTGGTTTGCAACTTTCAGGGGGGCTCAGACCATGCATTAACATTCATTAACTTGTGCGTAATTTCCCCCACCCAACATTTCTTGACCATTTCAAGTTGTTTTCATCCTTCTGCAGAAGAGCATACGTTGTCATGATCTCCTTAAACTGCAGTTTGGTAAATGACTTGTTTAAATTTAAGGAAAAGAGGTTGTTGATAAGTATAGTTTTCTAATACTCTTCCTCAGCTGTCATTTACTTTGACTAAATTTATTTAAACCACCTTAACCTTTCAGAGAAAGGCCAGGAGATGTTTAAAAGAATAATATGTGTCTGACATTTTGGTTTACCAAAAGGACACCATCATAATTCTGTAGTGCCTCTGTTAAAAATAAGCTAAGAAAAGAAAACTAAAATCTCTTTTTCTTTCTGCTTAATTTTGAAAGAATGGGAGGGGATGTGATTGATGGTTGCATTAGGAGGTGACCTGCCAAGGCAATCACCCCCTGCATTGATTTGTCACTGCTGCAGCACCAGCAGCTGCCACACACAGGTGGGTCTGGCCCTCTCTGGGGAACACCTGGGTGGGTTTGACTCAAAACCTGCTCTCCTGGTGCCCTGACCATGGATTTCTCCCTCAGCTCCTGCCCTGGTGGCACTGCCAGCCCCCTCCTGGGCCACAGCACCAGGCTCTGAGGGTGGGCTGGGCAGGTGAGGGGACTTTGGGGATGTTTGATGGGTTTTTAATGTGATTTCATGACAAATGCTCGTGGCTTTCTGTCCTTGTGGGCACTCTGATGGTTCTGTGTGACCCGGGGGTGTGAAAAGCAGGATGGAGAGCCCGTGGCTGGCAGGGCAGTGTGACTGTGATGGAGCTTGTGGAGCAGTTTGTTCTGCAGGAGACCTGGGGGGCAACTGGTCTGTCTCCTCTTGGGTTAGAAATGTCTTTGACTTTAGCATGGAAAATACAAACACAGGCCAGGTTCACTGGCTGGTTTTAATCTAATTCTGCCCTGCTTTCAAAGACATTCCTATTTCAACATGTCAAGGTCTCAGGAGCTTTTTGTCAAAAAACTTCAGAAGTTAAAGAAGGAATTTTCTAGTTATCAGTAATTTCAGAGTTCTAGAGCTTCTGTCCCTGCTGCTGCTGTTCTCAGACTGTGACAGGCAGCACAGGTACATGAGTCTTACAGGCTGTAGTTCTGCTACTCTGTGAATTCAGGCACAAAGATCTGGCAAGTCTCTCACCTGCCTTTCCCAGGAGTGGCACCAGGGGATGTTCTGAGGCCCCTTCCAACCTTCCATTCCTACGATGCTCAAATATTTTTTGAGGGTATCACGATTACACTGCCAGTATTTGAAATCAGGCACAGAAAATTTGTATTTTTTGGACTGATGACTTTGGAAAGAACTTTGGATGCATCAGGTGTGTCCCCATAAGGCAGAGTCCTGGAACTCCTGGAGCCCTGGGCTGTGCAGCAGCAATGGTGCAGGTCAGCTCTGCATAAATGTTAATTCTGGGTGTGTGCAGTTTCAGTGAGTTGGGGATAAGATTTTTTCATTTTTTTCCCTAGGAAAAGCAAAGGACTAAATTTGCACAGCTTGGTTTGATCAGCTCTGTCTGGAGGTTTGCAAACAGGCCTGGGGCTCTCCGGGTTCAGCTGGGCTGGGGTTTTGAGTGCCCCTGTCACTGGTGGGTGTAAGGGGAGCTGCTCCAAGGGGTTGGATTTATTGGGACAGATCATTCACCCAGAGCTGGGGCTGCCCTTGTCTGTCCACTTGCCCTGTGTGCCGTGGCCAGAGAGCACAAATTCCCTCACCTGGGCTGTGCTCCAGCCCTGTGTTTGCACAATTCAAGGTGTCTGTTCCTCAGTGATTAAAATCCCCTTTTCCTCAGCCCCTCCCTCCCTCAGCCAAGATGAAAAACAAACCCAAAGCTTTTTAAAGACTCACCACAGGCAGGAAAGACCAGAAGAGCAGTTTCTGACCCCTGGGAACCCTCAGTTGTCCCTGTCACAAAGCCAAGGTTGGTCTCTCCAGCTGCAGAGACCTGGCTGGGCTGCTCAGGGAGGGCAGGGCAGAGGTGTCCCTGTGCTGGTGACACTGTTCTCCAGGGTGACACTGTGCCCCAGGGGGTTGGGGCATGTCCTGGTGCCTGGACACAGGTCCTGAGGCTGTTCCTGCATGAAATCATAGGATCCTGGAATGGTTTGGGTGGAAAGGGACCTTAAAGCCCATCCAGTGCCATGGGCAGGGACACCTTCCACCAGCCAAGGTTGCTCCAACCTGGCCTTGGACACTTCCAGGGATCCAGGGGCAGCCACAGCTTCTCTGGGAATTCTATTCCAGGGCCTCCCCACCCTCCCAGCCAGGAATTCCTTCCCAATATCCCATCTCTCCCTGCCCTCTGGCAGTGGGAAGCCATTCCCTGTGTCCTGTCCCCCCAGGCCCTCATCCAAAGCCCCCCTCCTGCTCTCCTGTGGGTCACTTTCTCCTGTTAAAGAAGGGGATTAAAATAATCTCTAAAATGTATTAAGACATAGATTCAAAATTAAAGAAATCAAAGTCTTCAAACTTGATTCCAGGACTGGAGTCACACCTTTGCCCTCCTGACCTTCCCCAAAGTTGTGTGAATTAAGGGCAGTGTCAGCTGTGACTCTGCATTTCCCCACATTTGTCAGTTTGTGTCACAACCTCAGCACTTTTTAAACGAACTTTTCTTGATTTTTTCCCCTTTTTTTAAATGTATTTAATATTCGTATTCAGGTATTCAAGCCATAATTTCTGTTAGTAAAAGTGACATTTTGTGAAGTTCATTTTTTTTTTTTTTACGGAGAAAATCTCCAGCCCTTTAAAAAAATAGGCATTAAATAACAGCATGGTGGTGTCTCCAGGCTGATGTCACCCTACAATTTGCCATTTTAATTCCTGAATCCCAGTGAAACAGAAGTTTGGTAATACCTGGGTTATTTAGCCTGGCCTGGCTGCCCCACCAGTCCAGGTACACACATTTCCAGTAATTTAAAATAATAATTCTCTGTGTTTAGGTGTGAAAAACCACAAAATGGGAGGAAATTAAAAGCATTCCTGATATTATCAACACATGGATTATATTTAGCACACAAGTAAGTGAACTGATCTTTGTTGCTGTCACTGGAGCTGATGATATTTTGATCACATCAGACTGAATTTGGGTGGAAGTGCTGCATTGATACCAAACTGATTGTCTGAAGTAATTTTAAATTTTTTTGATGTTTTTAGATTTAGGTTCTATTCTCAAAATAATTTACGAACTTGAAGAATTAAATCTTCTTTGGCTGCATGCTATCCCTGAAAAGAGCTATTTAAGACCTCATGACAGTGGATTTAGGGTTAGTGAATAATACAGTTCTAAAAGGTGCAAGTTGTCTGAACAATTATGGATTTCTGACAAACATAACACAAATACACGTTATGTTTCTCTCTTCTCTCTTCTCCAGTTCTACATCAGGAATCCAATTTTTTTTTTTTTTGTCTAGAGGAGATAATTTAATCTATTTTATCCATTTTTTTTAATGGGCCACAGGGACTCCCGGAAACTGTTGTAATTTCTCCTGATACAACTATTTTTATGCAAGAACATCGTATTCATGTATTGCTTGGCATTCAAAAATGTGGGCGAAAATCAAGTAAATTCTTGCTCAAAGCCATATTTCTGGGAGTAATAGCTTCAGTTCATTCTTTCTGTGGCTCTCGGTAATTCCTAAGGAAGCTCCAAGTTAATGAATATACATTCTCCAACTTGTTCCAGTATCAAGAGTGCCCAAGGCAGGATTTCACACACTGCTGGTACTTTCTGTTCAAGTCCCCAAGCACCAATTCTGAAAGTACCACATTAATTAATGCCCTGTAACATCGTTGTGACAATAAATACCCTACTTTTGAGGGGAAAAAAAAACACAACCCACCACAAAACTGCGTGAAGTATGAATATGAATTAATTTTAAAATCTACATACTACAAAGAAAGGTCAAATGCTACAGAGGTGAAATGCCTGATACAGGCAGGATGTTTCATGAGAGCTGAGTGAAATGTCTGAAATTCAGATGATATCTTAGATTGGTTTTCTTTAGCCTTCAAAACTTCTTTTTAATTTTTTTTTTTTTTACAAATAATTCGTTCAAATTTTCTATTGATAAGATTCCATATGGAATCACAAAATGATATTTTTATTTATCGCAGAGTGGTATTTTAGATTCCACATACTTTGAGGCCCCATCTCCTAGTAACAGGCAGAATATCCTCAAGCACCATCCCTGCAATTATTTACGAGCCACAACAAGAATTAAAAAAAAAATAAAGGCAAAAAAATTAAAAACATGAAGGCAAGGCAAGGGGTTGGAGTGGCTGCTCCCACCACAGATGCAATATTCCTTTTAGGAAGTGACTTCCAAAAGCTGAGGAGAGCAGGCAAACAGAGCATCACAGGGGGAGGCAGGACTGCAAACACGGGGTTTGGGTCGTGCAGGAGCCTCTGCAGCTCAGGATATTTCATGAATATTCATCAGATAAGGAACCTGAAATTGTTGCTCTGTCTCACAAAGAAGGAAGCACAAGTGCATTTTCCATTTGGGAGGGAGCAGTTTGCTGTGCCCTGGAGCTGTTTCTGGGAAATGGCAGAGGGTGTGCAAAGGACAGGGGGAATTTTCAGCTAAAGTGATATTATTTGTAGTTATATAATAATTATAAACCAACACATGTGTTCAGCATCCCCTGGCTGTTGGAACTCCTGTCACATGTGTTGCAGACACACAGAAACCACAGCCAGCCTGTCCAGTGAGCTCCTGGCTGTGGTTTTGCAGGAGAAGCATCAGCAGGGAGCTCGTGGGAATGCTGGGAATGGGTGGGAATGTTGGGCACGGCCAAGGAAAACCCCACGCCTGGGAGCTCTGGCTGTGGACGTGGCTGTTTGCTGAGTCCTGAAGAGTCTCCAAAAGTGTTCCTGGAGTTTCAAACCGGCTCCAAACACAGACAGGGGTCCCATCAACCTGCTTGCCAAGGCCAGGGTGGTGTGGGAGAGTAACAGTGAACTGAAGTAAAAGCCCAGTCTGAGGGTGACTCTGCCCACTGAGGAGGGTTATTTGTTAGGAGTGACCTCTAGGAAGGGATGGGCAGGGTGGTCTCAGGTGTTCTGGCTAAACTGTGGCTCAGATATTCAGGGTTTAGCTGTTGGGTAAGTGTCCCAGAACACCTCTCAGTGTTCCTGTGTCCACAGCACTGGAGGAACAGCATCTCCCTGTCCCTGGGCTGTGCAGGGAGGGTGCTGGTACCTCTCCAGACCTGCCTCAGCCACCCAAGGCTGTTACTGTGCTTTAGGAGCCATCCACACCTGCAAACAGGATTCATCCTCCACCCCCACGCAGCTCTGTCCCCGTGCTCAGTTTTCTGTAGGGTGGCATTTTGCCATCTTTGGTGGCATTTAGGGAGAGCTTTGGGTCGGCACTGTAACAACACACACCTTTAATAACACGACTAAAAATGGTAACTGAGAATATAGGACCCTCTGAGGAAGGCAGAGAGGGGGCTCTGCCTGTCACGCCGTGCCTGGCCACTGTCACCAGCTGGTTTTTGTAGGATCTGAGCAGAATATTATCGGGCTTTTAAAGGGGCAGGTCCCCCCTCAGCGGCGCCGACGCTCCGGCAGGTGCCCGGTGTCACATCCCTTGTATGACAAACATTTGATGTGACACTTCTGCACGCAGGTTGCTCCAGAGATATTTTTATAGGTCAGACTAAATATCACACATCCCAGCCTTCAGTCAGGGAGCGGAGCCGGCTGTGATTGCCGCTAATGGCCCTGGAAGTTGCTATGGTTCCTGGTAAACAGCATCCCCATCCCTGCTCCCGCTCCCATCCCTGCTCCCGCTCCCATCCCTGCCGGGGCACGGGGCAGGGGCACAGGGACAGCCAGGGACCTGTGCCAGCATCAGCTCCGGGTGCTCCGGACAATCAGCTGATCCAGCCGGCCGAGATTTCTATGGATGCTCCCTGATGGAATTTCACCTCTCTTCCATTTTATCCAGCTTTTCCATACGGCCCTTCTGTGATCACACAACCCTCCTCCTCCTCCTCTCCGAACCTCTCAGGGCTCGGTGTTCCCAGAGCTCCTCGTGCCAGGCCAGGTGTTTTTTGGGAATGGTTGAAAAAGCAGGATACAGCAGTGAAGTCAAGGAGAACGTGGGCATGCTGGGAATTGCCTGCACGCTCCATAAGGATGAGACAGCTACAAAGGATGGAGCAATGCTAATCCTCACCTGAACCCCTGGGGTCTGATTGTATTTCCCAGAGATTTTGGGAGACCCAGTTGTCCAGGGATGTGTTGAGTGCCCATGGAGTGAACACAGCGTGTCCTGCAGCGTCCAGCCACTTCTCTTTCCAGTCCTCATCCCAAAGCTGCACCCTGAAACAAAGAAGTGTGAAAGGACTTAAAAGCTAGGATGAAGAGAATTTGAGTTATACAAATATAACTTTTGGTATCCTATAATCTACAAAAATTAGCTAAGGACAGTGACAGTTAGTGCTTAGACATGTATCTTCACAAAACAAATATGTGACAGTTTTAAATTTTATTTTAATCACCTCAAAGGTCTATTTTGGCTGATATTTACATCGTGTGTTGACATTCCTCTGTGTTTCGGGCGACTCTCAGAGAAGGGAACATTGTACCAGAGCAGGCAGCAGTGGAGGAATCCTCTGCTTTGTCCCCGCTCCCCTCCCACCCTTGGCAGCCTGGGCTGGGGAGGCAATTCCACCCAGGAATCCCTGATTAGCTCAATTTTCAATTACGCTTCCCCGTCACCTTTAAACAACCGCTGCTTAACCCACGCTGCAGATCCAGAAACAGATACCCAGCCAATTATATTCCTTTATGTGTTCCAGACAATGCCAAACAGGTTTGCTGCTTGCCTCCCCGGGTTATCCCCTGCTCCGTGTGCTGGGGGTGGTTTTATCTCCAGCTGACACCACAGGGACTCCATCCCAACGAGTGGCTGAGAACAGCTCTGTCTAAACACTTTAAATGCTCCTCACATAAACACAGAAAAAGCCTCCGTGCAGCAATTATCAAGCCAGACAAATGTTGCCGCTGATTTTAACAGTGCTCAAGTGGTGGAGGTTTTTTTTTCTTCATTAAGATAAACAATGGAACTAATTGGAAAGGCACAAAAACATCTGTTAAGTGATGGGAGTATTGGGGAGTTGAGGGGCTGGGGCAGGGGGAACACACCCCTGTGCTCAGGTGGGTCTTAATGTACATTGGAATTTAGGAAACAAATTTACCGAATTTTAGAGGCATAGAACTGCAAGAAGATGAGACTTTACAGTGACCTGCTCTCCAGATCCCCCTGGACAGGGTGAGAATGGCACATTTATATTGCAGGGAGTGTCAGAGATACTGGAGTCTCCAGCCAGTAAGGTGGGATAGGTTCAGCATGGGGGATGTACAGGATCCATCACTGGAGCTGATGCTGACATCTCCTCAGCATGGTCTGTGCTGTTAGTATTGAGTGCATCAAGTTACCATTATTGAAAATTTTAAGCTTAGGTGATTGATAGATTTTTCCGTAATTTCTCTTATTTCCTAATAATCCTTTGTTTTGTATTTTAATGGCCTCCATTACTGTAATGTATTTATTGGTGCACATAATCGGGGCTGAATTTACATCTGGAGTTTAATTCCTGTTCTGACAAAGCTCTGCCTCTTCATCAGGTACCACCAGTGTAAAGTGGAGAGTCCTCCTCCCCTCAGCCTTTTCCAGGGGTGGGAGGAAGGGACTGGGACCTCCGTGGGAGCCCTTCACTGGCATCAGGCTTCCCAAAGGAGCCGTGTCCAGGCTCCTGTCAGCTGGGACTGATGTCACATTTCCCAAATTGTTTGAGCAGGGCTCAGCAGAGGAGGCGGCTGTCTCCAGACTTGCTGTCTATGCCTTTTATCCACTCCTGACATAATTTATTGGAAATGAGAGGAATTGTTTCAGGACAAGCGTCTCTGACAGCTTGGCAGATTGATAGAGAGGTTTTCTGATTTCATCTCTTTTTCTTCCCTTCTGTTTTCAAATGATGCCTCCCTACCCCTTGCCAGTCTCTCAAGGAGCGTCGGTGTCACGGGATCAGGGGCAGAGACAGCAGAGACAGAGTTCTGGGTTAGCAGAGCAGGGAGGGGGTTATTCCATCCACTCTGGGCTGTCTCTTGCCTCGTTATCCTCCCATAAAATTCCAACTATTTTTAGTGACGTGTAGAGCACACACAATATGAATTTATTCAGCCTGGGAAGGGCCCCAGCAGGTCACCCAACATGCCAGGGGTGCTGAGCTGAGCCCTGGGCATGCTGTGACGTTTGGGATCCAGTCCTGCAGCAGGGAAGGAGGCAAAATCCTCACTGTCTTACCTGGGTAAACCCTGTGTTCCTGCTCCCCAGCTTCCAGCCTGTCCTCTAACAGCTCTGTGTCATAGGAAATCCCACACTTTGCCAGAGTGGAATTGCCAAAATGAAACCAATGATTTTTCTGGGTTACTTAGTGATGGCATCACTGAAATAGTGCTCAATATTGGCTCAATTCCCCAAAAAGAGCAGGAGTTACCAACCCCCAGCACCTGCCACTTCAACCACATCCCAGGAGTATGTACGTTGATAAAGACACCCTAAAGAATTTTACCCAATTAGTCATTTTTAAAAGATTTTTTTTTCCTTCTTTCAGAGGGGAAAAAAAAGGTTTCGCAGAGAACTCCCTGTAAACAGCAGGATTTCTGCTTAGAAAACAAGCAGCTTGCCAGAACCTTCCTCCCATCCCTGCCTTCCTATCTCCAGCTCCCATCCCGTGAAACGTGAGCTCCACTTCTGGTGACAGTTCCCTGCTGTTCCCCGAGCACCAAGATTGGGCACACAGGTGGAATTCAGTGGGTTTATCCCTTGCTGTCCTTACCACTCACCTGGTGAGGGGACTGAGGGGAAAACCAATCACAGTCACGAGCCATTTGCACCCAGAAAAGGAGGCATTAAACTGGGTTATTTACATCGTTCTCGCAGCCCCTCCCCTGCCCCACAGGGGCCGTTTTTATAGGAGATCTTGATTTGTTTTTCCAAAACATCTGAATTCCATCCCGTGGAAAGGTGGGTGCCCACAGTGGCACAGGAGCACCCAGGGGTGGTGTGTGGTGGGTGTGGGGACAGTGAGCTGGGGCGAGGCAGGAGATCCAAAAGCCTTCCATGCACTGGAAGCCTGGATGGACAAGGGGGAATGGCTTCCCAGTGCCAGAGGGCAGGGTTAGATGGGATACTGGGGAGAAATTCCTGCTGGGAGGGTGGGGAGGTCCTGGCCCAGGTTGCCCAGAGAAGCTGTGGCTGCCCCTGGATCCCTGGGAGTGTCCAAGGCCAGGTTGGACGGGGCTTGGAGCAACCTGGGCTGGTGGAAGGTGTCCCTGCCCATGGCAGGGGGTGGAATAAGATGAGCTTTAAGATCCTTTCCAACCCAAACCATCCTGGGATTCCAAGATTCCATGCCAAGTCACTGCAGCATTGTCCTTACAGGAGAGGAGCAAACCAGAGGAAGACCCTGTGGAGAGGAATATCGTCACCTTCAGGAATATTTCCCAGCAGGGGTGTGGCTGGGATGAATTTAATCGTGTTGCAGTTGTGACGATATCGCTCCACCTGAGCTCGCAGAACTTCTTGTTAAATATTTGAACTGGCAGAGCCCAAGTGAAAACCAGCAAAACCTGAAAATGCAGGGCCTGCCTTGCTGCCCTGGCAGTGGTGTGTCCAGAGGCAGGGCTGGGAACATCTCTGGCAGTTCAATGTGTTCCTCTCTCTGTCTGAGGTTTGAATTTTGCTTCCCCCCCACCCCACATCCAGCCCCTTTCCTTCCCCCTTGAAGTCACTGTCAGGGCTGTGCCTGGCAGGATGTTGAAGTGTTTATTATTCTGCTGCCCAGGTTTCTCCAGATGTTTAGCTACAGGGTAGTGCTGCTGCAGAGATCAGTGCAGCTGCCTGGGAGAAGGAACTGCAGCATCTGGGCCTTGTCTGGGGAGCCTGGATTTCAATTAATTAAATGTGCACCCAACTTGCAAGGAGCTTTTGCATTTCAGTTAAACTGACTTCAGAGCACACCTAAGATTTATTCCTGCCTTTCAAATTAGCTGCCAGGTCCTCAGCTGGTAGAAATTGCTGAGCCTCACTTGGTGTCAGGAGAGCTCAGTTTACACCAAAGGGGATGTGGATGATGGCAGAGAAATAGGCTTTGTATGAGCCCAAGAATTACTTGGTCCCTTAGGAGTTCAGTGGAAGTAAAGCATTTATTTACTTGAAAAGCAAAAAAGAAGTTATTTGTTATTTATATTTTGTATTGGTTTTTTTTCCCCCGTAAGGTTGTCATAAGATATGTCTTTGTGAATTTACAAGTTTAACATCTTTTTAGCATTTTAATTTAAAATTGTTATTTAGAATTTAAGGATTCGTTTTTTATATGTTTATGGTTAGTTAAGAGGTTTGTTTCAGTTAAGATGCTTATTTTAGTTAAAGTGTTTATTTCAGGTAAATGTTTAGGTTAGTGTTTATCTTTAGTTAAGTTGTTTATTTTTAGTTACGATGTTTAGTTTTGTGGAGTGAAAGAGGAGGTCAGTGATTCTCCCCTGGTGAAATGATGTTGGCACAATTATTTATCACAGTCACAGCTGCCCCTGCACCCCTTATGGCCACACCTGTGAGGTTTGGATGAATTCCTGCCTTCACACTCTGTCAAAAGCACTTCTATCATTATTCAAACATCTGGAAAATGGTTCTGATGGAAAGGCATTGAGATGCTGGACGCCATCAAAACCTGTCCCAGAATATCTGCAATAAATCAAAGAGCCTGATATATAAATATTAGGTTTGAAAGAAGATAATTTTGGGAGTATAGAACTTGGCTGATGCTTTTCTCATCCCCATGAAGTGATTGGAACACACATCCCCTGGTGAGGCCTCAGAACACACGTGGCCCCTTTTCCCCTGGAAGTGACTCCCCCTGAACATCCTGGAGGGAGCAGGAGCTGAGCACTTGCATGGATAGTATTTTAAAGGCTCTTCCCTGCCCATCTCTGGGATAATTCTCTCCTCCACATGAGTGTTGGGCACTCAGACTTGAGGGATTCACCTCTGCTCCCTTGGAATCCCAGAGCCACCAGGAAAACCCCACAGCTCCTTAAAGTCCTGGGAGAAACTTCCTCATGGATTCCTAAAATTGTGCCCTTTTTCTCAGCATCTCTGCACACTTGTCATCTTCCTTTTGGTCTTTCCTCTGGCTCCACCAGCCCCTGGGTTGATCTGTTCCAGGAATACAAGTGTCTCCTTCCTCCCCCTGCCCTGCTGGAGCCACAGCAGGAATTGGAAAACCCATTTCCCCTCCGAAGGCAAAGCAGCCCTTTTCAGCTTCTCTTAAATAGGTATCAACACCTGGCTTTTACAAACAAGAGGAATTAGACTTGGTAGCATTTTGCTATTTGAATGACCTACTCAGTGGAATTACAGCAGCAAACTAATCCTTTAGGAGAGATGGCTCTATCAATCTTTGGATTTTTCTAATGTGGAAGCTACTCAATTGCATCTCAGAAATCAGGGAGGTAATTACTCATGCAGACAGCACAAAATGAAAAAAAAAAAAGGCAAGTTCTGCTGAGTATCCCTTTTAGAACAAGCAGTGGAACAAGGAAAACAGCCTCTATAATCAGTCAAATTCTTCCACTAATTTTTCAGGTGTTGAAGGCTATAGTGAGGGTACATGCCATGAAAGTTAACAAAGCAAAGTGGCTTTAATGGAGGGTTTTACAAGAGAAAAATGCCTCTTATTAGGCAAACCTACTATTTTAGATGTAGTTCCCTACGTTACAACTTCATTGTTTAAAATAGACGTGTTGGGAGATAAATGCTTTTCCAGAGCCCTTCGGAGGCCGCGGTGACAACATCCAACTGTCCAGGAATCAGAGCCCAGGGGAGCTGCTGGCTCTGCCTCAGGAGCAGCACCAACCTGCACATGAAGCCCTCCCACCCTGTCAGCCCTCAGAAATGATGCTGATTCAATTTTAGATTCAAGTGATACCGGGTTGACACAAAGAAAGCCTATACAGAAATATAAAACCGTTAATAATACTGAAAAGAAGCAGTATGTTGTATATTTTGGATTGCTTGGAATCCTGAATAGATTATTAGTTTAAAATGTTGTTATCAGGTCGGATAGACCCTGCTGGTCACAGCCTGGGCCTGCTGACACAGGGGAGGGTCTTCCTCAAACATTCCTGAACTGAGGAGTCCCACTTTGGGTTTAAACTTGGAGGCTCCTGAGGACAGAGTGGGGAGCAGGGCTGCTCTCAGCTGAGCCACCAGTCAGCTTGAAAACCAAAAGGATGCCCTGGAATGAACAGGAGGGTCCTGAGGGTCTCTGAGAGCCCACAGCAGATGCAGGAGCAGGAGCAGGGTGGAGCTGTGCTCTGTGCCCAACCTGAGAATTCCCGCTGCTCTCTGCCCGTGGCTCAGGCAGCCCAGCCTGCTCCCCCCTCACCTGCTGCCTAATTCAGGATGATGATATTTAGAGATTACTGATTAAGCATAAATAAAGAACATCAAGTCCCTCAGTTCTCGAAGATTTCTTGATTTCAGTAGAGTTGTGGTAACTCACACGCCTCCAAATCCAGCTGGGAAAGGGAGCAGAAGTGCACACAAATATATGTTTGGCTGGTGGTTCTCCTTCTCCTTATTTTTATCCATTTGAAATATTCAGACCGAGTGGATGTTTGTTAGCACTTGATAGAATCAAAACGTTTTTATTTTTAAATATTTTAAAGAAATAACCCTGTCAAACACTTGCCAGATTAGATGGAAATATTCCTCCTTCAGCATTTACAGATATCAGTGAATAATTGTCACATCCCATGTCTACATATTGGAAAAGAATTGTATTATCTAATTACATATTTATCTGATAAATATGATTAACAAAGAAGACAGATCACCTCTCTCAACATGTGTTCATTTATTTATATGCAGACAATATTTTATATGTTTATATAAGTATGTGTGCTGTAATGTGCCTGTTTGGGATATTAATAATATTATGATTTTACAAGCTTAACTTGCATAAAATCACAGACCCTCCTGCAAAGCCAATTCATTACTTGCTAGAAAAGAACAGGAAAATATAAATAGTCTTTCAAGGGAATAATTTTCTAAAAGTCAGAATCTGCAAAGCTTATTTCTGATATCAGGAGTGTAATGAAAATATTCACCAAGGTAAGAAATTCCTGTTCAGGGCTGGAATCTTTGTTGCTTTCTTTGGAGCAGTGAGAGATTCATGTCTTCATTACAATGATCTACAGTATATTTAAGGGACTGCTTAGAGTTAAATTAATCTGTAATCGTGTTTTTGGTCCCAATTTCATCATGATATCCCAGGAAACAGTGCAAAATAAATAAAAGACTTGCAGAGAAGTTCAGCCTGGTGAGTTCCTGGCAGCTGGGGCTGGGTGGGGTCAGCGTTAGTGCCTGGCAGGTGAGGCTGCTCCAGCCCATCCCTGGGCTCAGCTGGGGGAGGCAGATCCATCCCAGGAACCCCTGGGAGTCCTGCCCTGCCCTCCCTCCTCCTCTGACCTGGAAATGTCCTGAGAACTCGTGTCTCCAAAGCTCCCAGACCTGCTCAGCCTCCCAGCCATGGTTCTTCTGCACCAGGTACGTCCCACCTCTTGTTTTGTGTCAAAACTCAAACCAGTGGAACCAACCCCGTCCCGTGAGCAGCTCCATCATTTTTTTGTGTGTGACACTGCATTGATGAATATTCCCCCTTTAGTTAATTTGCAGAAAAGAAAATCCAACTGACCTTCCCTCAGCCTCCCAACAACTGCAGGTCTCCCCAGAGTTACCATCAATTTATATTTCCTTTTCCTGTCTTCCTCTGTGCCCGTGACACACCGTGAGGCCCCTCGTGCCCACCCAGTAACATCTTCCCAGCTCCTTCTCCCCTAAAGAAAAGTTTTTATTTATGGCTGTGCCTCCCTCCCTCTCCCATCTGCCCTTTAGCCGATGTCAATCCATTTTATGTTACATTTATGTCCATTCCACTTCCTCTCTTCCCTCAGACCCCAATCTCTGTGCAAAGACCTTGATCTGTGATGTGGAACTCTGTCAAACGCTGTCTGGGAGCCCGAGCACGGCTGCCCCACCACGTCCTCCTCCAGCAGCACAGATCTGCCTGGCTGGGGGAATGCTGGGGCTTGGCTTTTCCAAAAGTTTCCAGGAAAAACTCCTGAGCCTCCTTCACCCCCCTCCAAACACACACACACATTCCCCGTGGGTTGGTTCCTGCTCATGCAAATCACCCGTGGCTTGATGCAGTTGGTTCTGCGCTGGGAATATGACATTTACTAACAAAATAGCTCAGCTAAAATTGATTTTTTGGAAGGAACACTTTGGTCTCTGTATTTGAGCAAGAGATGGTTGTGATCTTGCCTTAAATATGCAGCAGAATAAGGACAGCAAAGACTTGCTGTGCCAGTTCACAGGGTGTTTTCAAACACGTTGGTGGGCACCCAAATCTGGTAAAAATGTTGATTTTAGCACTGCCACACTGTGTAACTATTTAATTCCATAATTGCTTTTCTCTTCTTCCTCCTTCTCTGTACTTTCACAAGGAAACACAAAGATATGAATTTTATACAGAATGGAGCCTTTGAGTGGGGGTCTTTGAGTCAGGAACAAGTGCAGGGGGATTTGCTTCGTGATTTCCAGTGCTGTTAAATACACACCAAGTATTATTTTCTTGAAGTGTATTTGTAGGGAAAAGTGAAATTGAGGGCAGGAGAAGTTGTGGGTTTGCTGTATATATTTTTTAAATATCAGATTTAATTTGTTTGGGAAGTAAATGTTATCACATTTGCGTGGAGAAGCACTTGATGTCTGTGGCACGCCGTCAGTTTTGTCACTGCCAAAGGCTTGGGGAGTCTCTTAATCTCCAGGTGCATCAGTATTTATAAAATAGGTGATGTTTATCAGCTGTGGGGAGGGAGGGGTTTTGCAGCCTTTGCATTGGAGATGTCTTGGAAATACCAACAATTTTGGTGCCTGTGGTCTCTCGCTAAAATTCCCTGATTTCTGACTCATCTGTGACTCGGAACAAACCACCCCAAAACTTCTCCTAAACCATAAGCAAAACAATATCACCCAAAAAAATGCAGTAAACAACCCCCTTTTAGCTGCCCCACTCCATCACACCCTGCCTGCTCCTTCCCTGTGCCCGGCCAGACAAAGGGAAACAGGGAGAGACCACGATTCCCAGAGCTGGGAACCAGGAGCCAGCTGGGAGTGAGGCCATGTGGGGCATTCCCTGTGACTCACCAGCTAATCCTGCCCCCCATTCCCACCTCGTCCCTCCTCCACACCTCCAGGGGCTCGCTCATTCCCCAGGGATCCATTCTGCCCACGAAAATATGTCGCATGTTGGCAGTGGAATGTCCCCTCTGACCCCGGGACCACAAGGGCTGTTTTCTCTCCTGTCCCTTGGCTGCTCAAAGCTGCTCTGTGCCCGCGGCCACCACGGGCTCCCCTCCCACCTCCTCCCTCTGGGAGAGCCGGGAAATGCAGATGGAAAACTCCTCTGCTTTCCAAATCCTCTCCAAACTCTGCCCTGCACACTTTGGACACGGGCTGGGAGAGCTGGGGGGGTTCCCCTGGGCAAGAGAAGGATCCAGGGAGACCTGAGAGCCCCTTGCAGGGCCTAAAGGGGCTCCAGGAGAGCTGGAGAGGGACTGGGGACAAGGGATGGAGGGACAGGACACAGGGAATGGCTTCCCACTGCCAGATGGGATATTGGGAAGGAATTCCTGGCTGGGGATGGTGGGGAGGCCCTGGCCCAGGTTGCCCAGAGAAGCTGTGGCTGCCCCACTCATTCCACTTTATAATTTCCACAGATACACTTTAATTGTAACTCGGATGCTGTGTCACCCCTAATAAATTAGGGAATAGTTGGCTGGTGTTCAGCAGATTAGGAATTCTTGTACTTCCTTGAAGCTGTTGCTGCCATTGCTGATTTGTGTAGCCCAAAAAAATGCTCCTATTTTAAACACACCTGCAGCACCTACTCATTTACAGACACCTGGTTTTCTCCTTAGCTTATGGACATACAGAGAGAGAGAGACTCTGGCCATAATAAGTCAAAATTAGCTGAATATTGGAAAACTTTAAATCGGAACCAATGATTAAGAATCATTCTTAACTTGTGGGCAGAGTGCATTAAAAATATAATTTCAAAAAGCAGCAACAGGTGGAAAAAAAAAATCATTTCTATGCAGTGTTTTCCTGTGCCACTGTTGCTCAGTTTGGGTTTAATTCAAGCAGAGCCTCAGCCTGTTTCTTCTGTTTTATTAGAGAAGATGCTCGTCTGTATCAGCCACTTATTAGATAAATACAGGAAAACTGCTTGTCATTTATGGGTTTCCCCATTATCATCTCCCCCACTGGATAGAGTAGCCTGGTTTCAAAGTGACAGCTGGTGGAACCTCTTCTTGATACATGCTAATCCAGTTTTTATTATGGAAAAACCGCTCTCAGAGAGTGAGAGGCAGTTACCAGACGTGGCTGCTGAGGGCGGAACCTCGTGATCTCTGCTCTGAGAGCCTAAAAATGAACCATTATCTCCCGGGGTGACAGAAACCCACTGAAATACAGACATGGCATCATTTATGGCATCTCAAAATGTACGGTCACTCTGACTAAATTTTTAATGTGGTAAATAAAAACCAGAGCTGCTGGTTCAGGCGGGGGGTGATTTTGGGGGATGAGAGAGGGGCACCTCTGGCTGCCCCTGGAGATCCTGGGGCACTGGGAAGGTGCCCCCCAGCCCTGTGCCCGGGGTGGGAGGGAGCACTGGGGAGCTGTGGGATGGTGTGACCCCTGAGGGGGGTCCTGCAGGTCCTCACTCATTAGCCTTGATTAGGCCTGGGGGGATTAAGGCAGAGCCTGGAGGTGGACAGAGGTGAGATGGACCAGGTAAAA